CACTTTAGAGTAGTAATCATCCAGTATTTACTTAACCCTTTGGTTCTCTTTTGGCGCCGTTAGCACTAGAAACAAACGACTTGAATCTGTCATCCCACTTAATCCTACAGTGTATAATAAGGAGTACATTAAACACCAGATAAGGAAATATCACATATGAACCTAGAACATCATCGATATCCAAGTTTACTTGAATAAAAAAACTATGCCTTCAAGAAAAAACTGCTTCACTTTCAAAATAACTTTATGTCATTGTCCTCACCACTAGTTTAACCTGATAGTTTGCATTTTTTTATTATATAAAAAGACTGCGAGGGCGCTGTGGACAATGTAGGTTATGGATAGTGGACAGGAGGTTGGACGCACCGTGTTATGGCCACCATGTTGGTACAGTGGACCGACCCATAGACAAGGGACACCCAAGGATAAAATGCTTAAATTAAATCTCAACCACACACTCTTGGGCAAGTATCGACTGAGACTGGTGCTTCTTGATTGCCAATAATTGGGTGCGATATACCCTTGTTCAGGTTTCAGGGTCCCCGAATGTGATTTGTTAGAAGGCGATCATGCACAATTTGGTTTGTTACTAAGGGGGGGGCGTAGGCATGCTAGAGGGATAGCGAACCTTGGCCAGATTGGACTATGTACCATCCTCTTACTAGATTGAGGTCCCCCCCCTCCCATCCCATTATAACCCCACACAACCCAATAAGGGGCGCAAGTGATGCCCTCCGAGTTCGATAATCGATATAAATCATTGTCGTGTGGCACACTTAAAGGGTCGACCTCTAATTCGGCAGCCACAATGGAGAGAGACCAAAATTTGAAGCTTTATCTTGAAAGTTGTGCGCGTAGCTGGGTTTTTAGCATAAAGCCTCTTGCTTTGCCCGATGTACGTACAAGACTGCGTCGGTTGATGGCCAGTGGCTGAATGTGCAGAGCGCGGGTATGAAGATTGAGACCTGCACCCTTGTCACATTATGCGCATTCAACATCGGTGCTCTTCTTCTTCGGCCTGACTTTTATTTCTTCTTCCTTGCTGTTTTTTTTTTCCTTCATCTTCTTCTTCTTCTTCTTCTTCTTCTTCCTCTTCTTCTTCTTCTTCTTCTTCTTCTTCTTCTTCTCTTCCTCTTCCTCTTCTTTGGGCGATTCGACGACCGTCGTCACACGCACACACACACACATACACACGCACACACATACACACACACACACACACACACACACACACACACACACACACC